CTCCACGCTAATAAAAAAAAAATGTAACATAAATATTATTCATAATAACAATATATAAGTAGGTATACAAATAATAAGCTTAAGTTGTATACATTTTAAAATTGAATAACCATACAACGCTTATTACAAATTCTATACAAGTGAAAGTGATAAATTCCAATGATGCCGTTTCCAATTTGGTTTCAAGTATAGTAGATTCAATAAACCCCGAAGGCTATAAACGCCATCACTCAAAAAATATGGCACATCCTGAGATGTCATATTGTGGCATAATATATAAGTTTATACTATATTCAAACAAATAAATTGTCATTCGATTTAGAATAAAAATAACCCAGCAAAATAGCAATAGCTATCAATCACCAGGTATTAATTTGTTTAAAAATAGGTCGTTTCGAGAACCAAAGATCGATGGTGACGGTGTAATTGGTTTTTTGGGAAGTTCGCATTGTAGCCCGACATGCCACGTACTCGCCAGACAGTAGACCGGTCAACACGTCTATAATCGATGATGAGAAAAGAAATTATTTTTTTGCTCTTTTGTTTTGGTATTTCTTTTTTTTTTTTGAGCTTCGACCCTTCAACTAACTTATTTGCCTCGCGCGTACCGATAACCAGTATGGTGTATGAAATATGACTACTAATGAGTCAACGAAGTTATTTTCAATTAATATTTAGGTTTCGTCATCTGAAGTTCCGCGTCCATCCACCAATATATGGAGTAGGTGTAAAGGGTTTCTACACTACACCATAGTAAGCGCAATGTTTGGGAAAGTGTGCGTAAAGGTCCGCCGGAGGAACAATTTAGAAATAAATCGGTTAGAAGAGTGAGTGTGTGTGTGGGCGAGAGAGAGAAAGACAGGGCGAGAAAGAGAAGGGTGTTCATTAATTTTGCACATCGACGTTTCGCGGGTCATTTGGCCGCTGGCAAAGGGGTAATGGCGGCGGAGAAGGTGTGATAAACCGGCGGACGGCGTTGTGTGGTGGGCCTGCACCGGCCCGATAAAACGCATTGACATCGACAGAACTTAACAAGCTTTTAAACGATGCCGCGGACTCGTTTATCTTCCACCACGTCACCGCGGCAGCTAAAAATATATATTATAAGACATTCGCCGGTGGGTGTACATTGCAGTGCAGCGTATACGAGACGCGACCCTAATTTTCTTTTTTCTCGTCACGTCTCTCTACGGCGGAACTCGTATCCTCCATCCGTCCTGCCGCCCACTAACCACCATCGCCGCGGTTCACACTCGCACACCCCTCGGCAGCGCCGCATCGTCATTCCACGGGGTTTAGGAACGACGCTCCGTCTGTATAATATTATGTGCGCGTGCGCGACGCTATTATAATATATATAAAACTAAATATGCTATGGCGACGGTGTTTTGAATTCCGCACCGCAGCCGACCAACCGTGAAATATGTGACCGAATCCCGCCGGGCCCCGTTGTGGCCCGCACGTCTAATCTGCCGTCTGCATGAGCGCCGTCGCCACACTGCCTGGCCACTGTGGTGCCGAATATCACTCCTCACAACTTGGTAGTATCTAAATAATTGTATGCCTACGTCGATATTGCACTGGTGAGAGTTTATGGCAAACCATCGTTGTGTACAAAAATCGGTCAACAACTATGAGTTATGACGTATTATGATATGAAATTAACGCCAGTCGCACCTGCTGTTACAATCCCTATAACATCCTAATAGCCCACAACATTGAGCGAAAGTGCCCGTGACGGGTTCTAATGTATATTTTGTGTTATCATAATGGATGATTTTATATCAAACAATAGTTATAGAATGAGAGCAATATATTAGATTGTTACAAATACATAGGTATAACCTTAAAATTGTACATGGGTATTTGAATTTCTAATTTGTACAAAATTTGATATTTAAACAAAAAATAATGATTTTCAATATTTTGTCGTAATCAAAAAAATCAAAAGGACATAATATACTTTTTACCTTAACATATAATATAATCGTTATCTATAGTTTATTAATATGCATAGAAATTAAAAAGATATTATGTAGACTAACCCTAAAACTTATTAATCCAAAAACTTATTTACTCCGTTCAACTGTAGCTTGTAAGTACTTTGATATTGACTTATAAAGGCTTTTATATTATATGGTATAAAATTACAATGAATATTATACTCGTATAATACTAGCTATGCCGCCTGGCGTTGCCTATGCTAAAGATTTGTTTTTCATTAAATATATTTTTGCCATATTTCCATTTTTCTATAGGCTTCGCCCTGGTGGTATATTTATTTTTTTATTTTAATGATGACCGTTTCGTTCAGATTCAATCAAGTTTTGATTTGTTAAATTATTTTTGATGACAAAAAAAAAGAAAAGACAAGCGTAAATAAGAAAATACCATAATTTTATTAGTAGTAGTTAAACAATTTTATAGCACTTGCTGTGATATTTGAATGGATAGCCACTTGTTATCATTGGTATTCTTGGAATAAAAACAATATTATGGTCAGAATTTTCAACTCGATGTCGTTCTTTTTCGAAGATTTTACTTGTAATTTTAGATAATTTTGGTGTATTAAAATTCCGTACTATAATAATAGCAACACCAATTTTTAAAATGAGTTTCTTCGGATGAAGTCCAAGAAAATTCAACGAATTCAAAAATTCAACCTGAAAATCTGTCACTTGCACATAATCAACAACAGAAGATTTATAGAGAGAGAAATTTCTTGCTGAGCTTCGAACATGTCGATAATATTTTGTTCTTTGATTCTACAAACAGTGTCATTTTCGTTAGCTAGAATCACATTTTCTTTCAGCCATTAGGGGTTGTCTGTGAAATTTCTGATATTCCCGGTACATGTGATATTAATTCATCTCTGCCACAGAGGTGGCAAAAGAAGGATGGATACACCTATTGTAGAACTAATCTTCTCGTCTAGCATCCCGTTTAGCAATATTCAGCGGAGTCTCTAAAATAGTCCTTTCCTAAAACTACTCTCATATTCGTGGTGAGCTTCAAAATTTAAATGTTATACCAGAGATATGATTTTGATGATGGTGTTCTGCTCTAATGATCACTCCGGAGTTACCAAAGCTTAGTGGCAATTTGTCGATAACAGTCTTAAGGCTTGAACGTATGGATTAACACTGTGAAGAAGTTTTTGTAAATCATATTAAACTTCTCTATTGGTGTGGGGACATATATATATATATTGGAGTTTTTCTAGTTCTCCATTTCCCATAAAATATATTTGTAAAAATGTTGGTTCTCCGCGAGTGCTTTGTTATAGTGAACAAACTGTATCATATATCTGACTTTTAATTTTAAATGTAGGCATTAAATAGGTATCTTATACTTCTATCTCCGCGCTATCAAAATATGTCATTCGAAAGGCAGATTTATATTTCCGGAAACAATCGAGAAAAATTTAAGAATGATTATGAGTGCCACTGATATAGTAATTTCTGAGATTAGCTCTTATAAAGAAATTTAGAAATAGATATCAAGGTTGTATAACAAGATAATATGCAATGTTTTTGGTAGAATTTAGCTCAACCAACCATCGTATACGTATAAATTACATACATAAAAATAGAGTCTGACACACCGTCTTCACTTAAAAACAATGTTGGAGTACAATAATATATCATTTATTACTCAAAATTAAAAATTAACATCATAAAAACGAGGTGAACTTGACATCTAACGATACTGCACAATGACTCCTCAGATTTTCTTTTTTCAACAATTAGATACTGGTGAAATTGATCTATTATATTAGAAGTTCAGCACAATTGAATTACACCCACAGGTGACTTTTACACCAATATCATACATCAAATTATATTTTGTCGCTTGTGACCTTGTTGGTGTGTGACGTCGTTATTATGACAACTTGGTAATACTGAAATTACAAGAAGACGTCTATGGGGACCCTTCACTCGGGGTCACCAGTTTGAAATAATAGAAGATATTGGTTGTTTGTTTGTAGACAATAATTCGTCCAATTCAATTCACAGTGCTCTATATTATATAGAGCTTTAATTCGGCTAGACTAGTTTTTAACTTTTTGTAAGTTTACCCATTGCATTATTTCTTTTATAGGGTGAGTTATTAAATTTACAATGCTGTAGCAGTGGTAATTATACTATGTAAGCATTTTTCTGACTGTATCAAATGTATACATTTTATGTGTACTATTTCACATATATTTTGGGATTTTCATAAAACGGCGTTGTAGATAGGCAATTTACGTACATAAATCACAATAAATTAATCTTTGAAATCACAATTTTAGACATATAAAATACTATTATAACAATGGTTTATCATTGTTCAATTAATTCAAGTATCCATTTTCTCTACATAATTGGTAAAGCTCTTATGTGTAAGCCTTATGTGTATTCAATTTGTACTAAATAATATTTGAAATAAAACATTTTAAATTAAATTAAAGCTGTTATATTATAATATATAAATAAAGTACATTTATATATCTTCAAATACATGTAAAAAAAAATAATACCTAACTTACATAGGTAACATTAGAACTATACCAAATAGCCTTGGAGGATTGTCAGTTGGAATTTCAATTATTATTTATTTCTATTATAATGGAATATATTTTTATTTTGGTACAGTTACATTAAAAAGTAGTATCACGGGACTTCCTTGATATAAATCTCATTTCACTGAACGTCTCTAGAATTCACCATTAAAAATAGGGGTATAATAATAATAACAATGCCAACCCCATGTCGAAAAAAATGTACAATATAAAAATAAAATATTAGGTATAATATTATTACACATACGTCGTAGAATCTGTTTTTGAATCAGAATATAAAAAGTATATTGGTTTCAAAAATCTTCAGCAAGTTTTGAAAACAATCTGTAGTAAATTAAAAAAAAATTAACTTCATATGAAACAAATTTCAAGAATGATTAACGTAGTTTATTAATTTTAATAATTATAACTTAATTAAATGTTTATTTTTGTTTAGGAGTTATAGTTTTTGGGTCAGACCAAGAAGTGGTGAGTTTAATGAAAGCAGTAAGGAGAAATAATGCTACTGGAAATTTTTCGTGGATCGGTTCAGATGGATGGAGTGCAAGAGATATGGTATCTGATACAAATGAAGCCGAAGTGGAAGGATGCTTATCTGTTCAACCTCAAGCCAACCCTGTCAACGGCTTCGAAGAGTACTTTTTAGGACTTACTGTAGAAAACAACAAAAGAAATCCTTGGTTCACTGGTATGTAATATATGGTTGATTGTCATTTTTAGTTATTTTAGATTGTCTTAACTTACATCAAAGTTTCATAATATTATATGTTGTTGGCGTGAAGAATTGACGATAAAATATTCTATTCCCACATACTATTTATTAGAACAGGGTCTCAGGTTACTTCTTATAATTTTAAAATACTATTTAATGCGTCCGTATAACATATTGAAGCCAGATGAGTGGCCAAACAGCTTAATTTTCTCAATGTTGTTGTATTCTATATTCCTCTTCCCCCCACAAAAACATAAAATCGTTAAAAGTTTAAATAAAAATGATACCAGTTATCAAAAGTTTAGCAGAAATATTTCAATGTAGTTCGTATTTCCACATTTTACTACAATCTTGATAATATATAGTAGGTAACGAAATTAATACATTATTAGATGAGCTGGGTTTTTATTTTATGTTCTTCTTTTGTTTATTTATTATTAATATGCAGACCACCTGAAGCTTTTCTGTACCTCTGCGTATGCTGATAATACTGTTATACACTTACTACAATAGTTCTGTCCACTATTTTTGAAATAATTTGTAAGATTAAATTCAACTGCTGTGCGAAAAAAATTAAATACCAACTATAAATTATTAATATAATGGTTATTCAAAATAAAAGTTTTAAGACTTACATGCCAATCATAATCATAAAATAGAAAATAAAATTTGGTGTACAAATAAAATAATAAATAAATTGGTGTCCATACTTCAGTAATGCAATTTAAGATAATTCTGTTGAAATGATTTTTGTCCTTGATACGTCTTTTACATAAAACAATTTTATATGTTTCTATACAATTTCAATTCATCAACTTTGTTTTACATTTTTTTATTTCATCGAACTCACATGCGTTCAATAGTTTACACGTTTTCGTAGAAAAATTTACATACTCGACATACTAGAAGTCTAGAACTTCCGTTTATAACGATGTACACATTATAAGATTATTGCTATTTTCATATAGAATTTTAGATTCAGTGCTGAGCGAAAATTATATTGATTTTACAATGATTTGTGGGTTCTTTTTAATGCCTGTAATCAAATCACGAAGCTGAAAAGTTGATAAAATATCCAACATTATGGATAGTGCCTATCTGGTAAAAATATTATCTGTTGGTTACTTCAGGGATTAATAAGTAGAAAATTATTTTTTGCTCTTATTAATCTGAAAAAACTAAAAGAAAACAGGAATAAGGGAATACTTACGGAACAACACTTTTCAACAAAATTGATTTTGGTTTTTTTTTATTAAAAAAGTAAGGAATACCCGTAGAAACATCCCATTTGCACAAATTTTTAAAATTTTATACCAGCATTTTATGGACATAATTTAATTTTAAAGTATTTTTGATCCATTTGAGTTATTTATAGGGACTTTTAGGATTTTCTCAGATTTTTTATCATTGATAAAAACTATATACCTAAATCAAAAAACTAGAAAATGTAATGCGAAATTCCTTATAAGTAGTTATTCAAGAAATTTAAAAATATCAAAAATACATTAGCACATTTTTCGTATAAACATTTGAGGTTCAAATATTGATGAAACTGGATACTTAACGAAATATAATAATTGTTTGTCTAACGATTTTTCTTTAGTTATTTTGTCGTAATTTAAAAATTATTAACCGTAGAGATTTGAAATTTTTAGCCATTATGTTCAATATTATATTCTACATACAATACGATTTTCAGAGTATTAAGACTCATTTTAAGATTCTTACATCCCAAACTTGTTCACATTATTATATGGTACGCCGGACACCGGGTACTAACTTTATAAAATATATATTATTATTTTGCATTTGATGATAATATCGTGAGTGGGGTTTTTATAAAAACCTTTAGTTCAACCTACGTTATTATTAATAGAAAAAATAATGACTAATTATTATAACTCAAATAAATTCAATTCATTTCAATCTCCACATCATCTCCTCTCATCTTCGAACTATATATGCTCTTATCATGACGGGAATCCCGGAAGACGATTAAATCAAAAATAGGTCCGAGACCTCCTAATTGATTAATACTTACACATTACACACACGCCACGAAGTTCCATTAATGGATTGATTTTTCCCACTAGCCTAATTAACCATCTTTTAACACATCACTTTCGTTTATTGAAAAAATTTTAACTTACCGGTTGTGAAATATATTTATAATTAACAAAAGAAAAAAAAATCATAAAAGAAAATTAGAAAGAGTGGTTGACACAACGTCTTCTTTCATAATTGTTTTTCGTATAGTTACTTGAACAAAGATTTATCATTAAGTTAAAATTTATCTCATCGACTACAGTGACCTACTCATTGACAAGGTTCACTCGAAATATAATATATAGCAGAGCAAGTTGTCTAGTTTCATTAAAATATATTATTTTAAATTACTCTTTATCATTCCATGTTGTAGGACAAAAGTATAAAATAAGAAATGTAAATAATACTACCTAATTCAATTGTTTTGTTTATACGAGCGTATTATGTAGGTATCTAGCTATAAAAAGTGTGGTAGGATAAATTTATAACTTTTGATGATGATACTTACCTAGTAAATGGTACCGAAGTGTTTATTGAAATATAAGATAACTATAACTGTGTGAAAAAAAATTAACAAAATGTAAGGTACCTAGGTATAACATAAGATTGACCACATAAAAGTTTTAAGTAAATATACAATGATAATAAAAATTACTTCGAATTATCTATTGTATCAATTGAATGCCTGTAAATATGTTTTTATTTTATTCAATTTATTTTTCAGCCTCATATTATTCTTCATATTTTCTGAATAGTTATAGGTAACTAGATATATAATTCATAATATATCTTTATATTTTTTCTATATTATGTTATACTGATAATGAATTTCAATTTCAGATGAACAAAAAGAGAAATACATATTTTTGTTAGGTAAATAAACAAAACAATCATAAATATTATAATATGTTACCTACCAAGAATTAGAAAATTTCAATGAGTATTTATTAACTTAAATGAATTATTTATGCGGTAGCCTTGTGAAAATAAAAATAATCAAAACATCAAACAATTATTAATTTCGTACCTTGAATAAATTTCTTTGACAATATAAACATTCAAAGGTTATCATTATTTTAAGCTCATGTACATTAATACCTAGTATAATTCATTATTAAAAAATGTATTTTGCATGAATTCATTGATATTTTTACTTTAAGGATCAACGAGTTTGGGGAAAAAAATTACAACTTTCCAAGTATTTCTAGAACGTACAATGGTATATAAATAAATTGTATTCAAACCATTTTCTACGTCAGAATTGCCGTGGTGTTTAACCCATACTAAATATTATATAATTATTATTATTCATTCATTAAAAAAAAAAGAATACTGGGCCTCACTGAGTATTCTCATTTGGAGACCCTGGAGTTAAAATGGTTATGTTACTGAAATAAAAAATTATTTGATATAAAGTTGCACAACCCTTATTCAGCTTGAATGTTATTAAGATATACACCTACTTACGTCATTTATGCATAATATATAATATTGTAATATTAAGTACATATTTTTATATAAATGCATATATCTGATGGCAAAAAAAAATATTGATTAGACGTAACTTCAGATTAATATACTTAAAGCTTATACCTGTGCAATGATATTATAATATAATATACGACCCCAAAGCGGAATGTTCATAATATATCATTGGTAAAACTCTGCAATTCTATCGAAACAAGACACGCCATTATAATCTGAGAAGTGCAGTAAAACTAAAACATTGAAGTTTTTGTCACGACTATCTGTCGTGTACCGAGTGTTTCCGGGTTTTCAGAATATGCTTTGGAAACAATAGCATGTTAGTGTGTGGAATCAGAAACTTTTTTTGCGTTTTGTTAATATGGGGTTCTAAAGGTACTTATGGTCGTTTATATTAATGTATCGGCTTATTGGTAAGTCATTAAATAGGTAAAAAATTAAAAATGTATTATCTCAAGAGCATTTCCGTAGTTATAATAATTACAAGTCAATTAAAGTACGAGATAAGATAATTATCGTATTTAAGTGCCCAAGAGTAAAATTGTAATTTTGACTTCGCTTAGGTACTCATACGAGATCATTGGCAAAGTTTGTTCGGAAAACCCTGAAACACCATGTATAATAATAATTAATAACAATTACGAGTCGGATTCAAAGGTTACAAGACATGTTAGATGAATTCGTAGACGATAATAATAAATATTAAGGGCTAAAATTTAGGTCAAAATGTATTCTGAAAATCTTTTCGGCCAGTAAACTATTTTGATCACTAATGTAAGAATTAAAAAATAAGAAAATCTAAATTATATGAAGTATGAGGCATACAATATTATTAAATTTTAATTTTTAATATTGTTACTATATTTTTAAATTTTAATAATAGAAAATGTCCTAGATTCATTAATCTTAGAGTTAAAAATATATAAAACGATATAACTAAATGAGTAAAAGAAATCATCATATTAAAATACATGTGGTACACGGCGTTCTAAACTGAACACGACTCTGTTAATATAGGTAACTTATAAAGAAATGACAATAACAATAACCGGAAAGTGAACATCAATAATAATACAGGTATAATATTTTAGATGAATGATAATAGTACCGCAAACGTTTGGTCCTACAAACAGTACAAACGAGTGACATAATCTTGATAGTAAATTAATAATAAGCTAATAATTCAGTTTTACATTAGTGACCAAAATAGTGCACTGGCAGAAAACGGGTATTAGGTACAAGTGGTCGAAATTTAACACCAGCCAAAAAGAAAGAGGTTCGTTTAAGCTGAAAGGGTCCCGCCCATAATTAGAACTCGTCAGCTCGTTTGCACGAACGTATAAAAAGATAGCTCGTATGGCGTGCGTCGTATATGTAGTGTAATATTTATCAAGATTTAGATAAGATGGGGCCGGGAGTCGTATAAAATTCAATAATATCGAAATGGCACTATAAATAATCACCAACGATGGTATTTATATACTAGTCGTTTCGATAGATTAAGAACGTTCATATCCACCACGATTGCTCCCGGGGTCTACTGCGGAGGGGGGGGGATGAAGAATTTTCGGGGTCGCACGTGTTATAATACACAAGCGTAGGAGCGGTAGTGCATATGACCAGGCGCCGCGGTCTCTCGTGACGGCCGTATAATAACAGTTCGTGTATAGGCGTTATTATTTATTTATTTATTTTCTGCCACCCTCGAACACTGCAGGCATAAATCGAATATCGCAGTTTTTCCGGAAGAGGGGAAAATAAAGTTCGACGATGGCAAAACAACAAAAACCACATCAAGAAAAAAATCAACAACTTCCAGCCGATCCCCAAACCGACTCTACCAACACCACTACCACTGCGACTCCACAATAACCACAAACACTGGGATTCGGTCTTTGAGCGTTTCGTGCCGATGACATTTCGATTAAATATATGCCATTTTTCTGCAGACAGAGAAAGAAAGGGAAGATAGAGAGAGAGAGAGAGAGTGATTGAGGAGGCGTCACTATGTCATTATACTCGTAATTTGCGCGGTCAGTTGGATAGAATAGACCGCAGAGCATGTACAGTAAAACTGTACGGAACTTTTCAGTTCGGAGACTCGTGTGTGCTATTATAATGCACAGGACTCGAACCAAGTAATCTGTCATCGTGTATGACATGTACATTATAGGTGGGTCTTTCTCTTTTCATGGAAAACGTCAACATTTTCCAAAAATTATATCAGGTTTTCTATACGCGAGTGAAACGATTTCAGACTCAAGTTATTGTACTATGTTAATTTTTAATCATAGTGGCAACGAAAATTATTGAGTGGAGTATAGTCATATAGAACACTATATTTATCAAAGTGCCTCGTTTGCGAATGAATATTTCTTTCATCCAACTCGAACCGCCGCATACGTATAATTATTTAATATTTACAAAATACGTGTTTGTACAACTGAAATATTGATAATTTATTTCCATAATCAGCTACAACTTTTTTACATAAATTTGTATTTTTGATTAAATATTAAATATATTACATTTGCTTACAAGAATATATTACTATGTCACTTACACGAAGGAAAAACATTGATAGTAGAATATTATTCAAATGAAATCAAAATTTATTTAAATAATTGACGAAACAAAAATCACGAATTTAAAGAACGTACGAGTAATACAAATATAATTGCAAACTACTACCGTGAAAATTGTATCTTATACCGATTTACACCTTATGTCTTAGATATGTGAGCCAATCGACATTTTCACAAACTTTTAACTGTCATCCTTATCCATTTTAAGATGAAAGATCAAATATTTGACAACTTCGTTGTGAGCGTTTGTTTATCATCTTTGCCATATACGTAAAAAAAATTCTTAAAAGTTAATAATTTTATTTACTACGGTGTAATTTTTGTTAGATAGTAACTATACTTAAAGTAATACATACGTGGATCAGAATCATCGTCTTAGTTTGTTTTTTTTGTATAAATTATTGATTATATTTAATAAATAACCTCCCATTGGTTAGTACAGTTAATACAGGTAAAATAAAATACATTTGACAGGGCTGGTAGTATTTTTCAATTTTCGGTACAACATCGTCAACATCAATAACTGCAGTCGATTAATTTATTATCATTTGAAAGATACGAGTATACTAGTAAGTAGTAACTAATAGGTATACGTTATTTGGTAATCACCCAAAATACTTGTATAATTACAACTGGTAATATCAAAATGTACCTGTAGCTGACAAATATCAAATACCTGTATCAAATATGAAACTATAACATTAGCATTAATATATATTATTCAAATGAACACGACGGTTATAGTTTTGAAAAACAGGTGGAAATATAGTCCAAAGTCGGGGCCATTTATAGGAAAGATTTACCCGATTTTTGTATTTAAGCAACGTTTCTCACAGGAAAGACATTTTTTTTTGAAAAATTGACAATAAAACATTCATCTTAAATTCTTAAACATTACCATCATGTCGATACCTGCTAGATAAATCTCTCCGTTATTGATATCCAGTAATAAACTAAAATTCCAATGTAAATATATCTAACATCTAATATCATGTCAATATTTGTAAAATTATGCAAACAAATAATAATTTCAAACACTTAACATTATTATTATCTTTGGAATATTGTTAAAGTCCCAATAAATATACTTTGTAACTACTTATAACTTTAATCAAAATACTGTAGGTAATTTTAAAAATTATAGTTATTAATAAAACGAAAAATTGAAAAAAATATATACAATTTGCGATACACGTGTGAACTGTTTTTGTTATGATATAGACTTTTAGGGAAAAATAATTACATTTATTTTTTTTTTTTAATGCCCTAAGGATTTATTATTTAAACGACCCAAATGTCTTTATAAATATATTTAACAATTATATATATTTTACATACTAGATAAAAATTATATATATTTTACACTTTGATGGAATCAATTCCAATGAAGTGGCTCCTGCCTTAATCTAAAATCTGAAACTAAGTCGTATGGTTTCAGACGCTTTAGCCGTCTAATGTCCTTGAAGTTATCTAATAATTGGATGGCCAATGGATTGACATGGCGATTTTGCCTCGTCTCGTGTTTCCGAGCAAACTTTTGGATTTCGTCTGCTATTGTAGGCGGCATCATATCACGGTGAATTGCATTGTTTCTTTCGAACCGGTAGACTGTAGTGATGGTCCGAAGAGAGATGTATTGACAGTGTTGTATTACATCGATATTAGACTTACTGGCACAACCCCACAGTCGAATGGCGTAAATCCATATCGGTTTTATAATTGCTATATTCAATATAGACGTTTGTTTTCGATGGTTAACTCGGAGGGGAGTCCGAGTCCGACTAACCAATAAAGTTTTCGCATTTTTTTTTTTAATCTGAATTTTTTTCTGACGGACATGGTGTTCCCAGTTTAGACGAGAGTCAAGGTGCATTCCAAAATATTTTTCTGAATCTTTTTATTACATTTATTAAGTAACGGAATCGAAGGGTGCACATAAATTTCAATCCTAAATGTATCCCTAGTGATATCGATTGATACATTCTCAGACACAGTTGTGTTTCTTTAATAATAAAAGTGGACATTGTGACTCTACACTTAGCATTTATAGCAACATGTAGTTGAGACGACATGTCATGATGTTTAAATATATTATGTAGTGCGATGGTTGTACGGTTATGAAGAATATAATATTATTTATTGAAATCAAAAGGCAACATTTGCTAAGGAAACTGGAATAAATACACATTGATTAAACTTGGTCAATAGTATACTGCACAAGTGAAAGGTTTCGTAAAATATATTGTATCATACTGTCATTACACAACTGTGTGTGTGACTTCTGATGAGAACTGTTATTCACTGTTATGAACGGAAGGGGAGAAACTGCCACGGCATGGCGCCACAGATAATGATCGACAAGGCAGACCGCGATCAAAACCCATGTATAATAATAGGACAGTATAATAATTTACTCATGGATGCAAAAAGCCTACATTTTGTGGTATGACTATAAAGTCCCTTCCCCCATAATATGCTTGGGTTTACTACCCCCTCCCTATTTGTACCAATAATAATATTCTTATCATCGGTCTACACTTTAATACTTGTAGGATATTACTATTATGCCTATCGCCTCAATGATAAAAATATGATTGCATATTTTTTTTCTGTTGCCTGATGATAATATTATCAATCTGAGTGCAAATTATGTTGCTGAAACACAACATAATATTATAGATTTGCTGGGCTTAGTGTTCGTTTTCTCTTTTTTTCTTCAAATTTTTGTATAGTCTATTTGTATTTAGTTTTATATGTAAAATGTTGATTCCTGCCGCGTGCATTATGCCATTTATCACACATTTTGTATACCCTATAATAATTGTATTAAACATGCAATATCCACCTTTATATACTAAACAGAATATAAACTATTGCACACGTATTTTAAATGCCTTAGATTTTTCTATTACTACTTAATTTATATATATAGGTAGGTAATTAACAATAGTTTCTAAAACTAAAAAGTTATCTAACAATATAGATAATTTAAATTTAGTCTATTATTGTTATTGTCAATAGTCTATATAGTCTTATTGAAAATATTTTAATTTAATATAATGTTTAAATACTTGTACCTTATTTTTTCTTTCTGTTCAAAAACCGGAAACTGGTGGAAGCTATTTAGCACAATACTGCCACCCGGTCCCGTATCGTTTATTCGCCAAATACACTTAAATTATAATTAATAAAAACACAGTGTAAATATTATGCAAGTTCTTTAATTTGTTTAAAGTAGAATTTATGAAATATAAATTTAATTTTTATTTATTAACTCTTTCCTTTTCATATAATTATGATAGTATGCTAATTATTACATATTTCCTTATCATTATTTCACAAAAACATAATGACGAAAACATGATTTTTTTCAGAATTTTGGGAAGAACACTTCCAGTGCCGATATCCAAGAAGTATGAGAACACCGTACAACTCAAATTATTCAAACGAATGTGACTCTAAGTTTCATTTGAGAGAAAAAATACCAAAGTTTGAAAACCAATTACAATTTGTCAGTGATTCTGTGCTAGCATTTGCACATGCATTGTACGATATGCATTCTGATCATTGTGGTCCGAACTTTGTTGGTTTATGTGAAGCCATGAAACCTGTTAAAGGACCCGAACTCTTAATGTATCTCAGAAAAGTAAACTTCACAGGTAAGTCGTTTCAAATTAACTAACTAAATAAAAGTTTCTTAGAGCATATGTGACACCAGTAAAATAACAACAAAATACCATTACATTTAGTGTGTCTAATCTTCTGTAAAAGCAATTTTATATAACGGTTTAGTTTCTACTAATGATGTACTAAGGTTTATTTTATTGACGTGATATAATGAAACGCTAGGTGTTACTAAAATTCTTCTACGCAAGAGTTTGAAATCTTTTAATAATTTATAAATTGAGATATTTAATCAAAAAAATAATATCTCTCCTCAAAATCAAAAATATCTTCACTTCTTAAGCATCTTTAATTTAACATCTTCCTAAAATCTTTGTATTAAAATTTAAAATAGTTAAGCGGTAGTAACTATTAGAACATCATGTATCTCTAATAAGTGTCAGATCAATAAAAAAAACGAGGGGATTTAAGGGGATTTTGGTGGTGATGATAATATAGACTTGTGGCCCGATATCTACATTGATTTGCGTCCGAGCTCTGAGTGTACGGCACCAGACGTTGTTGCTAGTTCTCGGATTTATGACCACCCGGGATTTTTAGCAACAAATCCTTGCCACACATACAACCCGTTCAAACCAACCCCCCCCCCCCACCACAGTAGCAGCTTAACGACCTTAGTAGTTGAAGCCTCAATGCTAATAAAAAAAATAATAATAATGATAGACTAGACACTTATGGTTTACCGAATATAATTGAACGTATATACTATATTGAAATAAAATATTAAAATAATATATTTTACATTACCGATAATCTGGTAGCAAAAAATACACGGTGCTCAAACAATAAAACGAGACTAGGTGCACGTGTGTTTTGTAGTAGGTCACAGGATCAGTATATTATAATACATTTTTTAAAGTAATCAAAAATAACTATAACATCAATATTGAGATACTCTTTGGAAATATAAAATGAATATAAAATAACACACGCATCTAGAATATATAATAAATATTAAATAATAATATCTAATGTATAAAAGTACTGTCAGGAATGGATCCAGGGGGAGGGGCTAAGAAGCATTACCCACCTTAGGAAAGTTATATATTTGGTATGTATTTATGTATATAACAAATACGTTCATACGTCTTAAAATTCAAGTATTAATAATTATTTTTAAAAACAATTTAACTAAAAGTACCATAATATCCTATACCACATTTAACACACACAATTACAAAGAGTAATACGCTATTTTTGTCTTATTAAGTAGGTACCTAATATAATTGTCAATGAAAAGAAACGCAATTTATATTTAAATAATTTGGTGAAGAAATATCAATTCGTTATTTTAACACATTCTATAAAAGTAAACTACAGGTTCCAAATTATTCCAATATAAATTTAACAAACCTAAATAGTATCTTTATTTAAATAAAATTATGCTAAAGTGTGAGTTTTGTACTTTTGTGTTATAGTAACTTGTAGTATTTGTGTATAATCATTAATTTGATATTAAATAAATAAATGCTATCCTCGATAACCAGAATAAATAATATTATTTAAATAGAACTTAAAAAAATGGATGTCTCTCAGCTGTATAGTAGTGTATAAAGGGGACTCTGTAGTGGATGGATTACATTTTAATTCAATAAATAAAACCATTAGGTTTGCACGAAAAACGATTCTGAACGAAGAAACCTGTTAAGCTATAATATTACTAAGCATACTTTGTGATATTATTGTTACTTATTAAAGTAATTAATTTTACTGTTAAACATTAATAATACAGTAGTTTGAATTAATTTTTACCAAAAAAACTGAATTTGTAAATGTTATTGTGTGCATAGAACATAATAATATATTTTCAAAAGTTGCGAGTACTCGCAAATAATATTTTTAAATTACAACAAAATAACTAAAATCATTATTCTTCATTTAAATTTCTAATTTCGTCATAACTTGAAATGGAAATATACATGAAAAAACCTGTGTTTACACATTTTTTTAGATTTTTTGGTTACAGTTTGAACTACTTGAGAAACCTGGTTTTACATTTTCAAACCTTAGCTATAAAATTCGATGAACTTTGTTAACATTTTAACTTAATTTTCTTTTTTAAAAATATCGTGGCTATGTATCTTTAATATTTATCATTTTCTATTATTAAAACTTATGACTTATGAGGGACCTTGTATTGAATTAAGACATTTTTTGATTGAGAGAAAAATTTTCATAGATAATTATTAAAAAATACCAATTGAAATCAAAATTATCTTATAAATAGATGAAAAAGAGTCAACAATTTTTTTTAAATTAGTTGGTGTATAAAAAATGTTACACCTAACGTTCAGCGAATTTATGTAACTACAGTTATCTTTTTTTAAAGTCTACCAAAAATAAAAATTCGATTTTGTCAAAAACTGGCTTTACTTAAAAATCTTAGTTTTTCATTATTTTTTTTTTTGTTTTTCTCATATTTAGTAAAATGTAAAGAATTTAACCTCCCACCTCCTATGTAGAAACTAGATTCGCTTTCTTCACAGAAATAATACTGTAGCGGAAAATCATAGCAAAAAAACAAATCATTGTAAAATCAATATAATATTCATCTCTTGCTTGGAATCTAAAATGAAAAACTTAGTATTTAATTGTTTATGTATAAAATAATAAAAATAATTGTATTAGATTAAAAAATATGTATTGCATTTTTGTTAGATAAGTACCTACATGTTTCAAAATTAATGATTATTCTAAACTATAAATTAATTAATGTGAGTTTGTCTATTTGAATTTGATACAATATATTATGTTATTCACAGAATACTGTTTAAATTGAAAGTTTAAATCGTTTACTAATTCATTGAAATTCAAACTTCAGATAACTTATATCTATTGAAATCCATACTTCAAATAAAATTACTTGCATTTCATTGAAACGTTACATGCATTGGGTCGTTTACCGACAACCTCAAACATAAGATAGACAATTCTATGAATAAATACACTTGGATTGAACTATTATCATATTGACAAAAATTATAATATTCAACATGAAATTTTTCACTTTAAAATAGTAAAGTTATCAGAACCAAATGCTGTTATAGTTCTATTTGACTTGAAAAATGAAAAAAATATGCAGGTAGTTATAATTTAACCAAAAAGGAAAATTTTGTCTTACGAAACTCGAATTTCCCTCCTTAGAGTATACTTCAAAACATTTAAGAAATGCTACGAAAAATTAAAAATAGGGCAGTGTCATAAACTTATATTTATAGTTTTAATTAACACATTGAGCCATTTCTAAATCGTGTAAAATATAGATTCATTGAAAGCCCAACTTATTCCACTGTAAAATAATAATAGTGTATTTGCTTTCTGTTACTGTTTATAGTTGAATAGTTTATTGTATTTTGAATAAAATAATAATTCAAATTTACACCAAAAACGAATCGCATTTTAGTATTTTACTATACCGACAACATGGCAACATGATGTTTTAATGTCTTTTGCCTAAATAAAAATACTATAAACTATGGTAAATAAAATAACTTAAATTGTACATTTAATAAAAGATGCATCACATAGAACAGAAATTTACCAATAAATTTAAGGTGAGTTCTGTGTTACTCGTAAGAGAAATACAATTAGAAAGCGTTGTTTTAACAACAAATCATTATAACACCTTAATTTACCAAAATGTTTTTTTTTGTTTTTGCTAAAAAAAAGCAAACCATTAAAAGTATACTAATCTATTGTAATTTTTGTAATACAAATCACTAATTATTATAAAATTATATTAAAAGTTTTAGACCCTAATTGTACTATCATTACTAAATATTTATAGCTTATATAAATGTTTTATATTTTGATACAGTATTATACGTGATATAGCAAATGGTATTTTTTTAAATATTTTATTTAGGATTACATTTTTGAACAATACTCTACAATAGTATGATGTATTTTTTATTTACTATTTCGGAATTGTTACTTTTTGTCTATTGTATTTCTAATATTTATTTTGGCTACTAATTCATATATTATATGAAATAAAATAGGTTCAGACTTTATACTGTGCGAGCTTACTGAGCAAGATTGTATAACTATTATGAACATACTCTTATGGACCAATAATATTTTTAGCTGCTTATGATGTAACGAATAGCAACGTTCAAAACAACACAGTAAATGTATTTTGATTTATTGCTGTGGCAGTGACTATAGTCATTGGCACTTAAAGCTGCTGGACATTATTGTAAAATCGAAATGAAATAAGAATTTATAGACAGTACACAATAAAATTTATTTGTAAATAGCACAATTGTTAATGGATTCTTTATCGATTAATCTATAGATTCTATAACTGTAAAATGTTATGGGTGTCAGACCTCAGTCAACTGCCAAACATATATAAATAACTTTTTTTAATCACTGTTTTGAATTCAATACATTTTAACATTGCATTGCGTTATTCAATACAATTATTTAGTGTTATTTATATTATCTAACTATTTTATCAAATATCTTCAAGACCTTGGAATCATATATTGAAATAATTAACTTACTAATCTATATTTCATATAAACGCCCTTTTTTTGCCTGATGTTTAAAAATACAAATATTTAAATGAAAACTATTAATATTTACATTTTATTCAACACAACAATAATACATTATTACTATATTATAATTTTTATTTTTTAATTTGTGAATAATATGAATACTCGATTTATTGATTTACCCTCAACTAATCGATAAGCTTTATTGTTTATTAGAGGTTTAAAATCAATACAGTATTAGTATGTTTTTACTGACAGAGAAAACGAGATAGTGGCTACAATCATCAAGCGAAATTAATTTTGAATGAACTTTTGTTTTCTCGTATTTTTGAAGTGCTGGTTATAAATGAGCGAAAACTTTTATTGAAATTCTAACTCGGTGCCTTGCCGGGGTTAATAGTTGTAATGAATTTCATTTGCATCCGGATTCCGTTCACCTTCATTCACAATAACAAACACCCATAGGTACTATG